GAGAGGGGGAGGGATGGAGGGAGAGAGAGAGGGAGAGAAAGAGAGAGGGGGAGGGATGGAGGGAGAGAGAGAGAAAGGGAGAGTAAGAGGGAGGGAGGGAGAGAGAGAGAGACAGAGAAAGAGAGAGAAAGAGAGATTGAGATTGGAACTGAATTTAGATGCCCCAAAGGTGTTTTTTCAGGAGGCAACTGGACTTTCTGGTTTTTCTTTTAAGACGTTTCCCTTCTCCTCCAAGAAGCTTCTTCAGTTCTGACTGGAGGGCGGGGAATGGAAGGATTTATACTCCTTGCAGACAGCTGGTCATTTGCATCCTTTTAGAGCAGTGTTTCTCAACCTTGGCCACTTGAAGATGTCCGAACTTCAACTCCCAGAATTCCCCAGCCAGCTGGCTGGGGAATTCTGGGAGTTGAAGTCCGGACATCTTCAAGTGGCCAAGGTTGAGAAACACTGTTTTAGAGGGTCATTGAGGCCCCTTGTAGATTTACCTGAGTACTTTGGATCAAAAAGTACAGGGCTCTGTTAAGATGGCCATCGAGCCCAAAATTTACATTGCTAAGCGGAACATTTGTTAAGTGAGTTTGCCACATTTTGTGGTTTTTCTTGCCACAGTTATTAAAGGAATCACCGCAGGAAGAGTGACATCCCTGGTATAGGGTCTCCTGCCTGAGCAGGGGGTTTTCACTAGAAGACCTCCAAGGTCCTTTCCAACCCATATTCCCTTCTATGTGCCCCACCCTCTTTAACACCCCTTTTGATAAGTGAAAAGGATCCAGTAGTATCAGACAGGAAATTGAGTGATCCATTATAAAGGAGATACAACTATGCTGATCCTTAACCCAGGAATTAGCTAGCTTCCTGGGTTTTTTTATCTTCCTGTTCAACAAACGCGCTCCATTAAGTAGATCATTGTTTCTCTTCCAAGTCATTTCCTGAGTATTTTTAAATGTGAAAACCCCATTTTTATATCCTGTCCCATTTTAGATTTGCCCTTAAGCCTAAATATTATTGTCTTTGTGATGTAACTTTGTATGTAACATAAAAATCACTTAGCTCCATGTCGTAAAAAATAGTGTCTTTTTTTAAAAAATATATCTGCAAGATCAGAAATACGTTTTCTGATTGCAAATGTTCGGTATGCAGTTGTCGGTCATAATAGCCAATGAAAATGCAGTATTTTGTTGGTTGCTGTTTGCAAGATTTTTATTTTCCCCCTGTCCCAGTTGTTTCTTCACGGATTATTTGCAAGGATTTTAATTGAACACAACAGCAAAATGCCCTGAACCACCATATTTATTTATTACTAGTTGATAATCTGGCATTGCCTGGGTATTTATTTATAGGGGGAAAATGTCCGGACCAAACGTAATTTCTAATGTTGGATTTTCCCCCTTACCAGA